TTATTGTTTAAATAAGGTAACAAGCAGATAAGCAGATGAATTTAAATTCAATCTGAAGGTGACTGATATGTACATGCTCTTATTCTTTTGAATGTCATATATGACCCAAACCAAATATAATTCCCAAAATTCAAATTTCAAAGTATGGATGTGAAAAATATTTGTTCTTCACAAAGTTTATTCACACCTTTGACTATACAAAACCAAGCATAATATTCTTGACATTTTCTGCATAGAAAATGAGAGGTGAATCTGACATTTAAAATCAGGCTTCTCTCCTCCTATCCCACCTCCAGAAGCTACTTTTGTGATAGCTTCTGTGAAGTGCAACAGATTTGAGGGACAAGCTTAAAATGGCAGTTTATTTCCTGATTTCATTTTCAGAATTATGATAAACTTATGAAAATAACCCAAAACTTACCCACTGACAAGTAATATGTATGTCTTCATTGTCAAAATATGCTTAAAACAGTGGTTTTTCATTTTAGTAACCCAGATGTTTGTTGTCAGCTTATCTCATTATTATTAATAGGAATCTAATTGATATTAATTCCCTCAACAACTAGGCTAGCACTTTTCTCAGTTTAACTTCTCTTCTATGGTTGCCACATTTAACTGTTTTTCAAATTCCCTCTAGTGAAATTCTACATGACCTTCTTATCTGTAAAGATAAACTGTAAACATAACAACCTTGTTTAGAAATACATTTTACCCAGCTTAAATGCTATTGAAATCGCATCAGTTAGTAAAGGACAAGTCACACTTCATTTTTTTAGATAGCTCACATTGTTTTCCATAATGCAATGACTAGAGCTTTGGATATTTAAATGGTACTTCACAGTGCAGACGTGTTCTAAACTTCTTCATGATTATACATATGCTCTTCTATAGTGTGCACTAATCTCTTCTGCCTTGGATGTTTTAACAAAATGGCTGAAATTTTCAGCCATTATGGATGAGTTATTCAGCAAATCTGTAAAAGCAATTCCACTTGACAAGCCTATAGTACTACTTTAAGTGATTGAATCTCTTTGATTTCACAATGGCAAGGTCCTTATTATTCTTGCGGGAATTTTACAAGTTCTAAGAATATTTCCAAAATGCCACTAGCCACATTGCCAAAAAGAGACAGGCAATTCAGTCATAGTTTTAGTAATTTGGATTAGTGAATCCAGTTAAGCAAAGATTTCTTTTAGAAGGAAAAAGAAACTATTTGTTGTTCTGTATATTCAACTGCATTGATCTTTTATCAGATTGCGTATCTTAAAGTTCTATCCCATAACATGGCTCTCTTGTCTTCCTTAAGTTTATTTTCTGGTAAATGAATGAGAGCCACAAAATTGGTGAGGTCATGAAACTTACTTATTTGAAACACTGAATTGTATACATCCCTTAAAGGAAAAGGGATGTTTTTTGCCCTGAGGGTATTAGTCATGGTCCATAGTTCGTGGGAAAAACTAAGGAAGTCTCAAAATTGTGTTTCTATTATTTCTATTTCTCTAAGACTTTGTTTGAATTCCAAAGTGAATTTTCTATTATCCCATTGTACATTGCATAGGAGGGTACCAACCAACAGCCTTTGGAAGCAACACCTGCAGTTACATTCAAAGGCATGACTTTTCCAAGCAGTGTGTGAGCTGGCTGCATTGTCCCCAAAGGGATAAAGGCCCAGGTTCTTTACCTGACTGGCAGAAGCATTCCAGCACCACGAAAGGACTCTAAACATTGTTTTGTAAGTAATGAGTCCTGCTGGTTTCATCCTGCAAGACATTGAAATCCCACAGGGAAAATGTGGTTAGAAATAAAACAGAGGGCTGGGGCCTTTAATGAGTTTCCTATCCACAGATGCCATCAAGCTTTTATACTATTCATTTTATTTCTACAGCTTCAACAAAGATTCCCAGAGTTGTGGGCCATACTCTTAACACTGAAGTGCATAGAACTTGGCAGAAATCTACACTTCAGAGATAATAACATATCACTCCATGAAATAAAGGAAAAGGCATAATCAAAAAAAAAAAGAAGTTAAATATGGAAACCTGTTTTGACAACAAATGAATACAGATGAAGCCAGACAGGAAAGGTGTTATGTGTGCATGGGTTTTTTTTTGCATGTTTCACATAAATTACAGTAGTGCAAGAATCTATCAGGTTTTTTTCTTTCTTTTTCATATCCTTCCATTCAGATATATTATTTATATTGTTCTCCATCTTATATCAAAAAAAATTTCAAAGACTAGTGCTTTAAAAAGGCAAAAAAAAAAAATACTTGAAAAACTAACCAAAAATATACATAGCTCATTTCCCTATTGTGTTTCATTAGCTATTATAGTTGAGTATTTTTTTAAAGTCACTTGGATATCCAATGAAATTAAATTATGCTTACCGAATTTAAAATAAGAAAAGGGAAAATGTTGTTGTTTCTTTGTAGATGAATCATGGAAATAACCAGAGGAAGCTAACACCTAACACATTTTGTTAATATGATATTTATTGAATTATGTAAAGTTTCTTTACATTTTGCACTGGTAAAATCATTGAATGTCATTAAGTTTCTAATTAAATGACAGATAAGATATAGATCTCAGAGTTATAGTTATTAGAATCAAAATAAAATTTGGATTTTCCAATCTTTTAAAACTAGCCTGACTTTTATTTTTCTCTTATGAAGATTTTTCATTTATATTCAAACTAGAAAATGTTTGTAAGAGATTTAGAAAAAAATCCAGCCAAGAATAGTGGAGACTCATTACAATGAAAATTTATGTTATCATTTTTAAAAATGCTTAGGTTGCATTTTGACAATTTTGTATTGTCTCCTGGGTGAGTTTTTCAAAGTTAACTTCTAGTGAATCAACAGTTTTGCTTAACTAAATTAATAGTAAATTTAAAATGTTTTTCTTTATTATTGTTAATTAAAATGTTGAAATAGCTATTAGAAAGTATAGAAATATTTTCTAGTATTTTAAATTTCTCCATCCCTATGTGAATGAAGGAGGTAATAATTCAGAATCCCTTTCAAAACTTACAAAAAAAGAGATATGAAAGAGACCTAAGTTGATGAGCATAAAGAAATTGAAGTCAGTAATAATTCAAGTGAATTATTAAAAAGAAAAGCAAAATTTTCAGAAAATATGAATGCAGAAATCCATAACATCTACATTTCCAACCCAAACCATGTGATTCAAATTATTTAATCAATGAGACTGCATTTTTGTTTGCCTGATTTTTGGTAACACAGAAACTAATACAATGGGGAAAAACCTGATATCCATTGATCTATCAAACCCCAAAGTTACGTCCTTCTCTTCCACTGTTTCCACCATGACTTCACACATTTCTTTTTCTACATTCTATATGTCACAGAAACTGCATTTGTTCTCTAAGTACCTACTATGTGCCAGTCATTTAAACAAACAATTCCAGTAAAACAATGTCCTGCAAAATAGATTACTATTCCCATTTTATGGATGAAACTTAGAATGTTTATGTAAAGAAAATTTCACAGATCACACTCCTTGAAAAAATTTGAACCAGGATTTGAATTTAGATTGTTTTTACTTCAAAGCCTATGATCTCCATACAAAATATGCTACATTATATTAACTTGTTCTTCCATCCTTAGTGTATCATTGTTTGTATCTATATTTCTGCTAGTAACTCAAGTAGACTATCTTTTTACATGATCAGTGGATTCATGCATGCTGATGCATCAATTGAGAAGTCTTGTCCTTAAGTAAATTTTCTAAGCCTAGAAGTTCACATAATTTAAAATTAATTGAACTATATTTAGCACATAATATTATTTGAACCAGCTGCAATACCTGAAATCAACATGGCATATCAAATGTGAAAGCTGGAAGGACTTATAAAATAGGAGAGTATGATTCTAGAAATGATGGAAAATCATTAAAATATATTAGCAATGATAAAAATGGAGTATTTTGAATAAATAAAAAGAAATAGTTCCAATTTTTAAAATAAACAATATATATTTAAAGTTAAGAAACAAGGAATTTTGTGCATCTTTATATTATTTGTTTTGTTTAATATTTCTTTTTTGGGCTTAAATGAGGCATACATTGCTTCTCTACATTAGACAAATATTTTAAAGTAAATGACAGATTTGACTCTATAAAGAGTTTTCCCATAGTTGTACTATTGATTTTGACAGCAAAAATCTTGGTTTGGGACCTCATTTATTATTTGACAATTTCTTTGGATTTCCATGCAGACAGTTTAAATTTATTCTTTCAGGAAAAAATAACAATCATTTAGTTTTATATCTGTGCATTATTTTAGTCTATGTCCTTGTATTATATAACATACCATAAATTTTAAATAATTATGCCATGATACTTTAATTTTACATTATCTGGAATGTGTTGACT